TTAAATATGGTGTAAGGTGTCCTAGCAGATTTCATTAGAACTCTACAAAGCCCACACTAGCTTTCTCACTCATCCAACCCGTGATCCTGACTCTAGAAATTAGTATGCATATTATGGACTCCGGACTAAGCTGGTTATTCTAGGTATTCCTACCAATATGACCAAGTCGCGAAAACAAAATCAAACAACTTCTATACAAAGAAAGGAGACTGCGACCAAACAAAAGGTCACACCACCTTGGTCTTGATACATTAGATTATCAAGAATATTATTGACTAAGACAAAAGCTAAATTAAATAAGGAATAGAGCATATATACGTTTGGAGAAAGCCAAGTCACAGGACTAAAGAAATAAATAGTAAGGGAAAAGAGAGTCAGAAGTATAAAAAATTAAACAAGTAAAGGAAAGGTAGCTTAGGAAGTATTAATAACATCCAACTTACTCTTTTGTCTCAGTAGATAACCAGGACAGATGGCTGATAGTAAGCAATCTGGATACTTTAGGATTACGCTGTTTAGTGCTAGGCGTTTCCTCAGAAGAGGATGGCTCAGTAAAAATATTTAACAAGTTAATTTCGTGCAAAGTAACACCATTATCGAGAAGTAGCAGACGTATAAGCCCAGTTAAATGAGCAGCCGCCAAAACTTGGCCGTCAGGTCGCCAAGCAAGATGCGTCACACGACCCAGGCGATCAGACATGGTTCCAGAGGATTCCCAAACTTGAATCATACGATACCTTTAAAAACAAAAATAATTGATCACGTGAACATATATCCAAGCCTGTAGTCAAGATGTAGAAATGCAGAACTTATGATTATAATTGCTGTATTGTTACCTCAGGATGGAAACGACTCCTTGTCTGGTTCCGATTGCCAAAAGGTCCATTTTTGGAGACCAAACAGCGACTTCTATCTTGTGCTTCGGGACACTTTTATCTTCGAATGCGCCGAACGAGAAGGCCTCTGCCATACCCTAAATATCTACCATCTATCAGTTAAATTATTATAATCACAAAAGAGACAAGGAAATATTCCGAACGAAGTTTATATTTTTTTTGCTGAAATTCGATTTACAAGGTCTAAGAGGGGTGGGTACTCATTAATTATGAAGGATATGTGACTGAATAAGACAGGACTTTCAGACAGCACATAAAAAAAACCGTAGATTAAAGCATCCATACGGCCGGGTTTGGTTTTATTAAACATAAAAGGACCA